TATGATCTTCAGGCTGGCCTTGAACTCACACTATAATTCAGGCTGAATTTGAATTCATGGTGATCCTCCTGCCTCAGCCTCCTGAGTGCAGGGATTATGGGCTGGCATCATAGGCATGCACCACCTGGCCAGGCTAATCTGTTTATCTATAAAAGTTAGGTGTCTTTATTAAATTTTTTTCCTACTCAGAAACAAATGTTACATTATAATAATGAAAGCTTTCAATTTAATTTTTTTTTCTGTTCTGGGGATCAAACCCAGGGTCTCATACATGTAAGACAAGCCATCTGCCATGCCACAATCCCAGCTCTCAGCAGAGTATCTTTAACTTTCTACTTGGCATGGGTGTAGAGAGATAAATTACTTGTTATGAGAAGATCAAGGTGCCAGTTAAGACAATAAATGTCAACTCAGGCTCAGATAAGAATTGTGTTGTCACAAAAATGCAGGAGAGGTGGGCTCTTCTCCAGAGTAACAGGGCTCCCTCAGGTATGAATTCAGTTTCCTGACTGCTGCTGTAGGTGGCTGTGTTCCCGGGCCCTGGCAGTTACCTGGACCTCCAGCCCTGCTCCACTGTGAACCTCTGTGCTTCAGTTTTCTCTCCCTTCAAGTACGAGGAGTCAGATTAAAATCACTGAGAAGATGGAATTTTGATGCGCTTGGAACACAGCTCAGGAAGTAGCATTGGCTGATATGTAACCTTAGCAATACAGGTTCAATATCCACTGATTGTTCACAGAAGCAAAAACCCAGGGTACAAAATGCAAAATTCCTCAGTGTTTGAGAGAAAGCAAAGTGTGACATCTGATGTTAGGTGGCTGCCGACAGGCATGGTGGTGCCTGCTTCTAATCCCAGCACTCAGGAGGCTGAGGCAGGAGGAGCATGCCTAGTTTGCTCAAGGTCAGCCTGGGCTACATAGTGAGCTCCAGGCCAGCTGGAACTACAGAGCAAGACCCTGTCTCAAATAAAAAGTGTGGCCTGTGGAGGCTGTAATAGTGCAGCCTTTCTCACCTCTACACTCTCCCCTCTGGGAAACTCCCCAGTTTCTGTGGACAACACCTCAAGCCATCCGGGTTAAGTCACAAAGTTGTCCACGCTGTTTCAACTCGTGATCCTCCTGTCTCAGCTTCCCAGAGTGCTGGGATTACAAGTGTGCTTCATCACGCTGAGATGCAAATAGAATTCTTTTTTTAAGCCTTTGCTTTGAAACTTGATAGGAAAAGCACAGAGGCATACATGGAAGAGAGACAATCCCAGGAGGTCGGACAGGGTCCAGTGAGGGCAGTCTGAGTAGAACCCCTCAGGCTTGTTGGCTAAGCTGAAGCCAAGCGGTTTGGTGAGCAGGAGCCTCAGCAAAGGCTTCAGGAAAGGATAGCTTGTATTCCTCTGCTTCCTCACCCTCCCCTTCAACAGAAGCCACACCCACCTTCTCCTTATCCTTCCTAGAGCATATGTGATGGGGAAAGGCGCCGGAAAGATGCTTTAGAAACTTGGTGCTGGAAAACAGGCTCACTTTGCAAACAGCAGATAGAACCTGAGGTCCAGGAGAGCCCAGCCCTCAGCAACAGCTGAGGTGTCACCTGGTGTGCACACAGCCCGCTGTACCCTGGTCAGGTTGTGGTCCTTGAAGCCAGAGGGGCACTGAACCGTACAGTGGATCCTGTGCTTGGTGCTGGTGGTAGCATTGACCTCTGTGAGGACCACGCTGCTGTGGTACAACAGGCAGCAAGGCATGTATTTACCGTGGCACGCGTGGGTCAGGTTTCACCACCTGGTCAACTGGCTCAAAGCAGGCATGGTGATTTTTGCCATGTGGTAGGCTTTCTCGGCAGCGATGACAGGGGCAGTGGGCAGTGGATGCTGCAGGGCACAGGTTGGTCTGGAATTCTGTCAGTTAACACTCAGGGCTCCATGAAATCTGAGAGAAGTGGTGATAGAAGACAAAACTCAGCCAGCACGGCGGTTCAGGTGAGCATAATCTGGGTGCTCAATATGGAGGCTTCTAGGACAGATGTCACAAGCGGCCTCACCAACTGCTCCTAACGCACCATCAGACTGCTCTAGGGGGTGTGGGTGGTGAGGTTGGGAATCTAGGGAGCTGAGTAAACGGAGAGCTCCTGCTTGGACCTCTTGTGTTGCAGATTTGCGCATGAGCATTGGTCAGGTTACTGATTCACTCCGAGGCGATGTCATGGCTCTCCTTGCTGAGGGCCTGGTGGCCACAGGCAGAGCCACCCGCAGGCTTTTCCTTGCCTCTGATGAGTTGCTCAGGCACCAGGGTGAACTTCATCTGTGACTGGGGTTCAGGTCTGCAATACTGCCCTGGGCACATGATTGCCAGCACTGTCTCCCAGAAAGAGTCAGTCATCTCTTCCTGCCTGGTCCTGTCACTTGGCATCTGGTTATCAGGCTGGATGTCCCAGCAGGAGCTGCCAAGCTGGACACCAGCCTGGCCAACATGGAGGGAGATGCACTCATGTGTGATGGCTACAGGTTGAGGGCAGAGGTGACAGGAGCAGCCACGGGTGCTGGTGACTGTCCCTCCCCCATCTCCCCCCAGTTCAACACCAAGTCTGCCTTTATTCCATTCAAACAGTCCTTGTATCACCCTGCCCCCCTCCACCACACTGCCTAGGAGTAGACATCCTCATTTTCACCAGGACAGTTCAGATTTTCCCATTTATCATGATCTTGGTCTCACACTCCCTGCCAGTGATTCCCCATTTGTTAGCCTGGATAAGTGAATTATTTGGCTACAAGGTCTCCCTATGTAATCCAGGATGACCTTGAATTCACTGTGTATCCCATGCCAGTCTTGAAATTGTGGTGATTGAAATTGTGGTGATCCTCCTGCCTCAGCCTCCTGAGTGAGTGTTGGGATCACAGGTGTGCACCACCATGACTGACAAGGGATCCTTTTATTTAATTTTTGGGAACTAGGAATCAAACTCAGGACCTTGTGCTTGCCAGGCAGGTGTTTGTGCCACTGAGCTATATCCCTGGACTGGCAAGGGATCCTTTTTAAAGGGGTAGATTGAATATACGACTTCCTCCTGCTTAGGACCTTTGATAACTTCCTGTTGCTTTTTTTTTTTTTTATCGGTACCTGAGATTGAACTCATGACCGCCTGCCTGCAAGGCAGGTTCTTATGCTGCTGAGCTAAATCCCCAGCCCCCTTCCTTTTGCTTTTGTGGTGAATATCAAAATTTTGCCTCTACCTCCCTCTCCAATCTTGAGCTCCCTAAATCTCAGCCCCTTCTGCCCAGTTCTTTCTTGCTTGAAGAGCCTATGTTTTCTTTCTGCTTTGTTTCAGCCTTAATTTCCCCAACAGCTCCTACTTCCTTCAGATTTCACTTGATAGTTTTTCAAGAGGCTTTTTATTATTATGTTTTCTTTCCTCTTCTCCTCCTCTTTCTCCTTAATTTTTATTTTTTGAGTCAGGGCATCACTATGTAATTCAGCTGGCCTTGAACTCATTATGCAGCCCAGGGTGGCCTCAAACTCTCAAGTGACCCTTCTGCCTCAGCCTCACAAAAGCTTCGATCACAGTGGTACATGCTATACACCAGCTCTCTTAGTTTTAGCTGAAGCTTTCGGGAGCTTTTCCTACCTGCCAAATCAATTAAGTTCCTCTGTCAAGGGATTATTAGAGGGTGAACTTCACAAGGGCTGGAACTTTCCTTTATCAGTTCAGCTTCCTCAGAGCCATTATAACTAGCATGGTTTTGGGAACACAGTTCCAGAACACAGAACGAGAAGTACAAATTTCTTGAGCAAGGATTGTTAATCTGTCTTTACCTCTAATAAACTTTAAGGTCACGAGGCCAGGGGTGATGTAATATAAATTCCTGTATTCTCTCATCAGGCAGGACTTTAGAGTTAGAGTCCAGCCACACTGTTGACACATTCCACAAATATTTTTTGAGTGCTTATTATGCAAAGCACTGGCTTTGTTATTAATGATGTAGGAATAAATCTTTTTAAACATTCATATTAAATATTAGACACATCAAACAACTGATAATGTGTATGCAAAGTATTAAAAAATAAAATGAACTCCCTAAACCCACCACCCGGCTCCCATACTAAGTAAGTGTCCTATAAGGAAAAGGAATTGAACCAGCAGAAGTAGATCCTGGAGATCGATGGGAGGGTACTGTAGAAAGGATTCATCTCAGGAAGGGTAGTACAGGGAGGAAGAAAGAGAAGTCTGGCCTCGAAAGATATTTAGAGGAAGCCTGACATTAGTGGTTCACACCCATAATCCCAGCATTCAGGGAGACTGAGGCAGGAGGACTGCAAGTCTGAGCCCAGTCTGGGTACAGTGATTTAGGGAGACCTTGAAAAAAGATACAACATTTTTAAATATATAATTTATATATAATATATTTTTTATATATATGTGAGGAACTAGCCACGATGGGTTGTCACTCATCAGTTGTGTGACGTAGGCAAATGTCATTTCTGGGCCTGAGTTTCTTTTTTCTTCTCTTTTCTTTTTTCTTCTACTTTTGCCACCCAGGATGGTCTCGAATTCCTAAACTTTAAAAGGATCCTCCCGCCACAGCCCCCAGAGTGGCTCAGGCTTTAAGTGGGAACTATCACGCCTGGCTCGAGGCTCTTTCTGCATCTGCAAAATGGGTGAGTAATAGCTATTTGTAGTCCTACCACCTTAGCACTACTGTCATTACTGAGAACTCGGGTACGACGAATATTGTCAAACCTGGGGGCAGCACTCGCCATCTCCTGGGCAGGAAAATGATGGCAAGGTGGAGCCTGGGCCAAAACCCAAGCCCACACGGTGCAGGGAACTGGGCAGCGCAGCCCACTTCAGTCTGGACCATCCCGCCCCAGGCATAGCCCCACCCCTGACACGCCCACACAGTGAGAGCTCCGCCCCCAGGCCGCGCGGGCGCGTCCCCGCCCTCTCCGCACGCACGCGCGCTCCCGCCTCTATTGCTGGCGTACAGGGCGGAGCGGGCCGTGTGGGCGCCGGCGAGCCGTGTGCTTCCGCGGGCTGTGGAGTCGCCGGGGTCTCGTGGCGGGGCGGCTGCTTCACCCGCTCCCTGCTTCCCCTGTAGGGACTCGCGGCCCCCGGCGGGCCGTGTCCAGTCAGAGACCGGGCCGCGCAGGGTGAGTGGCGGCGGGCACGCGCGCTCGGCCATTGTCTGCGCGGGGGACGGCGCGGGCACGTGCGCGCCCCTCCCCCACGCACCGCGCCCCTCCCCCACGCCACGTAGGGACCGGCGAGGCCGGGGTGGAGGCGTGGGCGAGGGGGCGAGAGGGGTGCGGGGCTTCCTCTCGGGGGCGACGCGCTGTATGAGGACACCCGGCTCCCGAGCTGCCTGGGTACTCCGCGTGGAACACGGGACACAGACGAAGTCCAGGACTGCTGCAGCCCTCGGTTCGGGAGGGGGCGCAGGTGGACCCCAGCTCGTGCTGTGGCGGGGCTGCAGAGTGGGGAACTGACGGAAGAGCCTGGCTTGGTGGCTATAGCCGGTCGTGAAAACCCCCCGCCCCCGTTACTCATCTGGTTCCGGGAGGAGGTGGGATGGTGTCACCTGGAATCTCGCGACTCTGACATATCTTTCCTAGAGTTCTAGTGTGTTTGCGACGGCAGCTTTATCCTCTCAACGTGTTTCCTAACGCAGCTGACCCACTTTCACCGTTCTTCTTTGTTAATAGGAGACAAATGCGGTGTAGTATAAAATACATACTTATATATGTAATACATTGAAATATACGTTTAAAATATATCTCAGTATCACTTTCCTTTCTTACTAAGTAGCAAGTATTCATTGAAGACACATTTTAAAAATGAAGACAGGCATTGCAGTCTGCAGGTAATTATGCCGGGGCGAATAGTTTTGGTTGTGTGTAAGCGTAAAGATAGGGCAGGGTTCCTTTGATGGGTTTGGGGAAAGCCTTTGCAGGATTCGAGAATGGGCGTAGCATAATCCCACTGCTACCTGGAAGAAGTAGTGGGCAGAGGGAGTTGAGATGATGTAGGATGCTATTCGCTGTAGTTTGGACTAGATCCCAGATGGTGGAGATGGGAAAGAGTACAAAGGTTGAAAAGTATTTGGGAGATAGAATTAATAAGATTTGTTTACTTATTTTTTAGAATTAACAAGATTTAGAAATGGATGGGTTGGGGCTGGAGATTAAGCTCAGCGGCATAAGCGCCTGCCTTGCAAGCAGGCAGTCCTGAGTTCGATCCCCGGTACCAATAAAAACGAAAAAGACAAGAAATGGATGGGTTCCGGTGTGGCGTTGCATGCCTATAATCTCGGCACTGACACTGGGACATTGAGGCAGGAGGAACGCTGTGAATTTGATGCCAGCTGGGGCTACTTAATGAGTTCAAGGCCAGCCTAAACTACATGGTGAGATTTTTGTCTCCAAAACAGAACAAACAACCAACCAGAAAAGAGAGGAATCTGCTTTTTTTTAATTTTTTTGTTGTGAACCACAGGGGAGATAGATAGTGGTGCCATCAACTGAGGAATGGAACAGACAAATTTGACATGAGAGAAATCATGAGTGCTGTTTTGAGTGAATTAAATTCAAGATGCACATTACTTACAAAATCAGTATGTCAAGGAAGCAGTCAGTTGAGCAGCTCTGGAACTTGGGGATAGAGAAACTTGAGCTAGAGCTAAGGTGTTGGGAATGATCAGTGTATGGATGGCATGCAGAAGTATGGGCCCATGTGAGGTCAGTTAGGGAAACAGGTGATGAACTCAAATACTCCAAGGACCAGCAGATAAACGATTGAGCGAAATATCCTTTTTGGATGCCAAGAATTGGCCCTCCCATCCATGCTTCTGAAAGGTTTAATGGTCAGTTGGGGCCGGAATGTCTCATGGCAGAGTGCTTGCTTGTTTTATTATTTTCTGATTATCCAGAGTGCTTCAGGTATTTAAAACACCATATGTTTTTCATTGTTTTAAATTCCTTTCCATTTATTCAGTGGATGCACTGCAGTTTGCTGTGATCTATTTTTTAATTGTGAAATCTATAGAGGAGTACTAATGTTTACGTTGCAGGTCTGTAAGTACAGCTCATATCTGATGCGGGTTACCCTGTCCTGAGAGTACTGGTTCCCAGTAGTGCTTGGTCTGTCTTCTCATTCCACTATAGATTTTTGTTTGAATCTTCATCTTCACTTCTTTAAGTCTGCCCCCATCTCCCTGCCTGTGTATTGTTTTGTTTGGTTTGGTTTGGTACCAGGGTTGCCAGGCAGATGCCTTGTGCTGCTGTGCTAAATCCCCAGCCTCCCTGCCTGTTTTTGTTTTTGAGACAGGGTCTCAATACATAGTTCACGCTGGCCTTGAACTATAGTAACTCACTAAGTAACCCACGCTGGCCTCAAACTTTTTCAGTGGATCCTTCTGCCCCAGCCTCCCAAGTGCTGGAGTTACAGGCCTGTGCCACCACGCCTGGTTTAGGCTTTGTCTTCCTGCCATTAATCCTGCCTTTTTAAGTGTTTCCTTTGCTGTTACCCATTAGAAGGTAGGATAGAGCTTTTCTTGTATTAAAAACAAGATTTGTACAGCAAATTATTTTTGTATCATTTGTTCTGTCTAAGAAAAAAGTTTTCAAAAGCTAGCTGTCTGCATGGATTGGTTCAAATTCAGTTTGGAGGGCGAGGAGTGTTTCAGGAAGTGGAGATGGTTGAGTTGAAATCTGAATCCATTGGAAGGTAATTGTGAGCTATATTCACAATTATGCATACTCTTTTGTTTTTAAATGAATTTGAGCATATGGATTTGTTTACTTATTTATTGTCTTTTTCAGATAGGGTTTCACTATACAAGTTCAGGCTGGCCTTGAACTCAGCAATCCCTCCTGCCTCTGTCTCCCAAGTGCTGGGATTACAGGCATATACCATCACACCTGACATACTTCTAAAATTGAAATATTCACATACTTGTTTGTGTATGATTATAGTCAGGTGTTGTGATGCATGCCTGTGATCCTAGCATACTGGAAAACTGAGGCAGGAGGATTTTAAATTTGAACTCAGCCTATTCATCTTAGACTCTACTTCAAAATTTTAAAAATATGATATATGTATGTATTCTTTTAAAAATACGTATATATGTGGCTCAGTTCAAAGTCCATGAGTTCACTCCTTAGTATTAACTCCACCAAAAAAAAAAAAATGTGTGTTGTCAGGAGTTCTTTTATATATTCATAAGGTCGTACAACTGTCACTTACCTGATTTCATAACATTTTTGTCACTGTAAAAAGAAATAGCCAATTTGTTGGCCTTAGCTCTGCCCTCCCTCTTCCCAGCACCCACGTGCTTTGTCCGGATTTGCCGGTTTCTGCACACTCCCTGCAGCTCGGACCTTCTTGGAGTCAGCATGGTGTGTTCAGTGTTGCAGCTGGGTTTAGGGCTTCTCTTGGCCTGGAGACGCTGGTTGGGGGAGTGCAAGTTCGGGACCAGTCTGGGCTACAAAGTGAGCTCAAGATCAGCCTGAACTGCATAGTTGAGACCCTGTCTCATAAAAACAACACACACACACACACACACACACACACACACAACTTGTTGAGGCACAATTGGGATACTGTGACCCACATGTATACAGTGTAGAGGACACAGTTTTACAAGTTTGGACATTTGTATATGTGACACCATTGCCCAGTCACAATAGTAAACATGTCCATCATTTGCAAAGATTCCTCTTACACACTGTCCTGGTCGTCTTCCTTCCCGAGGCAACCACTGGGCAGCTTCCAGTCACAATAGACTACTTGCATTCTGTGTAAATGGAATTATGGAGGATGTTTTTCTTCAGCTGCCTTTCAGGCAAAATCACTTTGAGATTAACTCATTACTGCATTAATCGGTAGTGTATTCCTTTTTACTGATGGGTGGTGAGTTTAATATGTGTGCACTGGAAGTTGCTCGCTTAGCCAGTGGCTTTGAAGCCCATCCCTGTTGTGTGGACCAAGAGCGCCCTGGGTGTGCCAGTCCTTTGTTATCCTGTTCCAGGTACACATTTTTTTCTTTTCTTTTTTGGACTGGGTATGGAACTCAGGATCTTGCACTTGCCAGGCAGGTGCTTATGCTGCTGAGCTAAATCCCCAGCCCTAGATAGACATTTTTAAAACATCTCCGGCTGGTAGTTTAAACTCAGTTGTTCAAGCACTTTCCTGGTAAGTATGAGACTATGAGTTCAATCCCCAGTACCAAAAAATAGAACAGAACATTTCCTTGGCCGATGGAAGAGACTAGACCATAGGTTGTCTTGTGAAATATTTAACACAAAAACATGGGTTGTGCTCAAAGATCAAAAATACTCTTGTTTGAAAGGAAAAGTATGCCAAGGACAGGGCCAGAGAACTATAAAATCGTGGTGGCATTCTGGGGGCGTCTGTGGAAGCAGATGGAAAAGGCTATCCACCCCTGCCCTTTGTAGACCTAGGCCAGCACACGGAGCTCCGAGGTTCTGACTAGGCTTCCCTGCCCAGTGGAGCAGGGGCTTAAATGAGAAGCGGCTGTGTTTGATGTGGGGCAGATCTTCCAGGTGACTTTACCAGATTTTGTTTCTCCTCCCTCAAGAACTGTCCATTACCTTGTAAGATAGTGGTTGGGCTCTGGGCTTCTCTAGATTTTCTTCCCTGACATGAGAACTAAGACCCTTTAATAAGAATTTGTGGAAACGCCACATAATTTTTGTATTTTACATAGCTTTTAAAAATTATCTTTCTCCCACTTTTTTTTTTTTTTTTTTGTCTTTTTGAGACAGGGTCTCGCTGTGCAGTTCAGGCTGGCCTTAAGCTCACTTTGTAGCCCAGGCTGGTCTTGAACTTGCAATGATCCTCCTGCCTCAGCCTCCCAAGTGCTGGGATTACAGGCGTGAGCCACCACACCTGGCTACTCCCAGAGTTTTTTAATCATGGGTAATTGGAGTTCTGTATGCCTCATTTATCTATATATCAAATTCTTTTTTCCCTGTCAAGCAAGTTTTCTGCCACGATTTCTGTGAACAGGTTTTTTATGTCATTTGTGCTATCTCCTGCTTCTTTCATTGACTGGTCAACCTTATGTTATACTTCTCTGCATCTAGCAGCCTCTGAATTGATTTCCTCCTATTCCCTTGGCATTTTTAAGAAG